CTTCCATGGCCAAGCAATATTCCATTGTATATAAGTACCATCTCCTCTTTTTCCATTTTTCCATCAACAGACACCCAGGCTGCCTCCACATCTTGTCCATTGTAAATAATGCTGCAATGAACATATTTATGCACATGTCCCCTTGAATAGCATTTTGGGTTTCTTCAGATAAATACCCAAAAGTGGGATTACTGGATCCTTCTTTGTTGTTATATCAGTTGTTTTAAAGTCTATTTGGATGGTATAAGTATGGCTACCCCAGGATTATTTTTGTTTGTTTTCCATTTTCATGAAATATAGTTTTTCGTCTCTTTACTTCCATCTGTGTGTGTGTGTCTTTCAATCTGAAGTGATTCTTATGTAGGCAGCATATGTAAGGGTTTTGTTTTCTTATCCATTCAGCCACCCTATGTCTTTTGAGTGGAGCATTTAATCCTCTTTAAACATTTAAAGTAATTGTTGATAGATATGTAGCTATTGCCATACTATTCATAATTTTGATCTTTTTTTCCCATCTTAAAGAAATCCCTCTAGCATTGTAATACTGGTTTGGTGGTGATGAACTCCCTTAGCTTTTTCTTGTCTGGGAAGCACTTTGTTTGCCCTTTAATTCTAAATGATAGCTTTGCTGGGTAGAGAAATCTTGGTTGTAGGTGCTTACTTTTCATCAGTTTGAATATTTCCTGCCAATCCCTTTGGTCTGCAAAGTTTCTGTTGAGAAATCAGCTGACAATCTTATGGAAGCTCCTTTTATGTTTGCCATTTTAATTATAGTGTGTCTTGGTGTTTACCTGTTTGGGTTCATCTTGTTCGGGACTGCATTTCCTGGGTTTGAGTGTCTATTTCCTTTGTCAGGTTAGGAAAGTTTTCAGTAATTATTTCTTTAAATAGGTTATGAGTCTCTTGCTTTTTCCCTTCTCCTTCTGGTACCCCTATGATGCAAAAGTTGTTAGGCTTAGGGCTGGCTGAGTGGCTCAGTTGGTTAAGAGCTCACTCAAGAGTTTGAGCTTTGAGCAACAGCGGTTCGATGCCTGGCCTGAGCTGAGCTGCCAACAGGTGGCAGGATGGCTCAGCTAAAGATAAATAAATAAATAAGTTGTTAGGCTTGATGTTGTCCGAGAAGTCTCTTAAACTATCCTCATTTTTTTGGATTCTTTTTGCTGTTTCGATTGGGTGTTTTCTGTTACCATGTCTTCAAATCACTGATTGAATCCTGTGCTTCATTTAGTCTGCTGGTGATTCTTTCTAGTGCATTCTTCATTTCAGTTATTCTTAACTTCAGACTGGTTCGTTTTTATGGTTTCTATGTCATTTTTTATGCTTGCTATCCCTTTTAAGTTCTCACTAAGTTCCCTGAGCATCCTTATAACCATTGTTTCAAAGTCTGTATCTGGAAGGTTGCTTGCCTCCATTTCATTTAGTTTTTTTTCTGGAGTTTTTGCCTGTTCTTTTATTTGGGATGTATTTCTTTGTTTCTTCATTTCTTTGTTTCCTCATTCTTGCTGCCTCTCTGTGTTTGTTTCTATGTGTAAGGTAGATCTGCTATGTCTCCCAGTCTTGGCCTGGTGGCCTTATGTAGTAAGTACCCTGTGTGGCCCTGGTACTGTCTCCCTGGTCACCTGCTCCATGTGCTCCAGGAGTGTCCCTTGTGTGGGTTCTGTGTGCCCTCTTATTATAGTTGAGCCTTGATTGCTGCTGGCACATCAGTAGATGGGATTGACCCTCTGGCTGACTGGCTGTGGGGTTTGGCCACATACATAGCTATGGGCTACTGTGCAGGCAGTGGGGGCTTACCCCACTGAGTGGGATTTGTCCCAGAAGGTTCTGGGGCCTGTTGAGAACTGTGGTTTTTGTGTGCTGCTTGAGGGGCTAACTGGGTGGTGCTCTGCTGTGATCTGAAACCAACCTCCAGGTATGTTGGTTCTGGGGCCTCTTGGGAGGGGCTCCAGTGCCGGCCCACGTCACACACTGCCGGCGACCAGCCAGGTATTACCTTGTAGGAGCTATAAAGTGATCTTCAGTTTTTTGCTGCCTGTGCTAAACCTGGAGGCATGTGGGAGAGGCAACGCTGGGAACTGAGGATGGCTGCTAACAGTACCAGGCCTAGGGTAGCTCTGCGGAAGGTCAAGATACCCCAATTCCTGCTACTACCTGCTGGCTCCCTTTAAGTTCAGTTGCTGATAAAGCCTCAGGTGATATGCAGGTTGGATGAGGCAGGGTCTCAGGGAGTCACTATAGTGGGAAGTGTTGTGGTCACCAGGTTAATGTAGGCTCTGCTTTGATGCCAGTGCTGATCCTGGAGCAACTCAGCAAAAGTCTCATAGAGAACACTAAGGCCAGTCATCCCCCACTTAGGGCCAATGGACTTTGATAGTTTTCCAAGAAAGAGTGCAATGTGTGTGGGGCTGGCCACTCTCAGAGAAAGTACCTTTGGTGTTGGGGGAGTTGGGTGGGGTGGGATCTCAGTGAGTCAGCAAGGCGGAGTCCCTGAGCTCACCAGACCAATCAGATTCAGTTAACTGTAAGCATAGGAGGAGGACTCAACAGATTAAAGATGGCAGCTGCCTGCCGGCTGCATGGGCAAGGAGCCCCTCACAGGTAAAATGGGACTATCCTCCAGCCCTAGTGAAGCCACACACCTCTCAGTCTGCTCCTGGTATGCCCCTGATGCTCCCTAAATCACCATCTCTCCTCCAGAGCCCAAGGTGAGTGCCTGTGAGCGAGCCTGCATAGGCCTTTAGGAGGACATCTCCCAGCCTTCCATCCCACCCAGATGGTTGGAATACCCACTGTTTTTCGCATCCAGATGTGGAGGCTCCTCTTCCTGGCATCAGTACTTCAGGCTGATGAGCCTGGAGTGGAGCTGGGGTCCTTTGCTCCTATGGGGGGAACCTACGTGGTCGAGGTGTTCCTGCCAATTTTCATCTGTCACATGGAGGTTTGGGAGCAGCCCATTTCGAGTCTCTGCCCCTCCTACCAGTCTCTTTTTGTTGAAGCAGTCTTCATCTGGTTCTCCATGTTGATTCTTTTTAATGTATTTCTTAGGACTTTTTTTTTTCACTCAATGTTTATTGGTATCTACTCCTGCCATGTAACATGCTGAGTACTAACAAGAGACATGATTTCAGGTTTTGAGCTGACAATGTAGTCATACTCAAATCACGGATACGTACAGCACAAGTACAATACAGATAATCACAAAGCACCTAAGTTGTCTGAGGGCAGTTTTGGGAAAGGAAGAGGAGAATACATAACCTTGCTTTCCAGTTTCTGGTAATAGCCTCCTAAAGTAATGCTCTTGCAATTCTCAGGCATTACATTTATTACCACACTAGCCTCAGGCTTTAATTTAATAACACTGTGGGAATGAATGTTACTTCCTTATTCATAGCTCATATTTTGTTTCTTAAATTGATAATGTTTTTATTTGCAAGGGCCTGTCCTGGGAGCTACTCAGCAGGAACTGGCATATCCAAAGTTTGAGCATGAGCGTGCAGAAGGTTCTGATGTCAAGCTGAAGCGAGTGCCAAAACTAGAGCTCGTTAAAGTGCAGGCAGGAGGTATGTTATCCATTAAGCATGCACAGTATGGAGTATCTGTTTTGTGCAATATTATATTTTTAATATGAGTACCATTACTGGTATTTAATAACAGTTCAGATATAAAGATTATTTGAATGTATTGAATAGTTGAGAGCTCAAATGCCTGACTTATAGACTATCAGGTACAGAAATAAATTGGATCAAAGTTATATTGAATTAAAAATATGAAAGTATTTTTTATTTTTAAGGGTAAGTACTTTAACCAACAGCCTAATAATGTTCAGATACTTTTATAGAGATCTTTTAAAAAAATAATTATTTGTAACGTATAGTTATTTGAATGAAATAAGCTGACGCTTATTTCTACTACCACCTTTGACATAATTTGTGTGATTCTAGGCAAATCCCTTAACATGTTGATTGTTGAAAATTTAGTTGTGATTTTAATGTGTTCATGGAAGGAAGCAGGCACAGTGTTTACTCTGCCATCTTTGGTCTCCTCTTAAAATAATTTTCAATTCTGATTTTTGCACACTCTGTTTGACAGAATACAGAGGTCATCTGCTTTGTGTGATCTGTTTATCACAAATAATGAAACCCTGACCTGAATCAAATTACAGCATCTCAATTGAGATTTATAATGAACACTCTGATGTTTGTTTTTTGTATGGAGTCCTAAATGCTTGTCCTCAGATTCTGTCAAATTCTCAATTCTCTAACTTTTAAAGGAAAGTGGCATTTTTAAAATTAAAGTTTATTGGGATGACAATGGTTAGTAAAGTTACATATGTTTCAGGTGTACAATTCTGTAATACATCATCTATACATCACATTGTGTGCTCACCACCCAGAGTCAGTTCTCCTTCCATCACCATATATTTGATCCCTTTTACCCTCATCTACCAACCCCCTCCTCCCTTACCCTTACCGTCTGAAAACCACTAGACTATTGTCTGTCTATGAGTTTTTGTTTGTTTGTCTTGTTCCTTTGTTGTTTTCAGTTTTATATCCCACATATCAGTGAAATTATATGGTTCTCAACTTTTTCTGTCTTATTTCACTTAGCATAATAACCTCAAGATCCATCCATTTTGTCACAAACAGCACTATTTCATCTTTTCTTATGGCAGAATAGTATTCCATTGTGTATCTATACCACATCTTCTTTATCTAATCATCTATCAAAGGACACTTTGGTTTCCATGTCTTTGCCACCGTAAATGTAGCTGCAATGCACATCATTTTAAATCTTTTCCTGAATGAAGCCTCAAATGACTGAATATGTTAAGAGCCAGTGTTGTTTCTAGTTTGTGTTGTTGATCAAGTAGAGAGTGCAGGGAGTCACTGACGCTCAGGGAGGATGTGAGTAAGATACACATGCCAAGCATGCTCCTTGTCCCTACTGACAGTCCTATTTATTTATTTAATTTTGTTTTGTTTCAGGTTTAAAAACATAGTGATTAGACATTTATATACCTTGTGAAATAATTAACCCCAGTGAGTCTACTACCTATCTGCCCACTGTCAATCTTAATGAGCTATATTGCTCCAAATAAAATGTGGACACTATGATATAATCGCCTCTAACCATGTCAAATATGACAGAAAAAGTTTTTGCCTTGAGGTATCAATTGATAGAAGTTCAAAGACCACAACTGAAGTACTTACTGAGTAATCAACCTAATTATGTTTTACATGTGTGTTTTCCAGATCGCTGACCATTAATTACACAGCTTCTGTGAATTGAAAGGAACCACTTTTGATGTTTAGGGAAGAATTTCCCTGCATTATTAGTCTTCTAAATATTTTTACTTTACATTCTTATCTATCTCCTTAGACTCTTTGCATTAAAAGATAGTTTCAAACTACTTCCAAGAACCTACTGAACGTGCCTTGAAGGTATCATAGGAAGAAGGATAGCCTTAAATATATATGCTATTAAAAAAGAAAAAGATAATGAATTACATGAGCATCTAATACAAAAAATAATAAAAGAAGCACAAAAATAAACCTCAGGGAAAAGGGAAGAGATGCTTAATAAAAGATAGGTATGAATCATTAGGAAAAGGAACAATAATCTGAATAATAGATTGCTCTTTAAGAAAATATCTATGAATAGAGGGTGCACTCGTACATAATCTTGAATAAAATAGACAAAGGCCAAGTATACACAATAAGGAATATGAGTAAGATGCTAACAGATACTGAGTGTATTACATAAGTATACATACATATATACATACCTAGATGTTTCACTTTTTAAGTTTTTTTTCTGTTTTCCTCTCCCCCACTCCTCCTCCTTCCATTCCTCCTTTTTATGCCACACTGTGAGAAATGGTACTATTTCTCCTTCACAGTTTCATGTTACCTTTGATGATATATGACTAGTGTGACTATATAATTTATTATACAAATTGGAGCATTCTTAAGCATGAAAAGAGGCAGTATTCATAGTTATAGCAGGAGTATGGATGAAAATGGACACATGGTTACCCTACTTTAAACACCGCATAAGGGCTAAACTGGCTTAAAGTAAGAGTTTTGTATTTTTCCAAAATAGCCAAAACAAATGCAACACTAGCCTTTCTATTTGTTTCACTTAAGCAATGTCATGCCTGACATTACTGTTTTAGATATCCTATATTCAGAACTTTTTTTTCAGGTCAAAACATTTAAATGATACTTCTAAATAGTTTCTTTTTTTTCTTAGATTTTTTTCATGTTATTTGATTGGATTTTTACTAAAAGTATAAAATTGTTTGCTTTCTACTTAAAACTACCTCTGAATAGATGTATTGGGTTTAATCTGTTCTGAACTTGAACAGTCTCTTTGTTTTTCTGTACCACTGTAAAGAGTGTGGTGTGTTTGACATATATTGTTCATGTGCCTGAAAATGGACCTTCAAAGTCTCTACAGAAGTTTCACTGGATATGTGACAAAGGGTCATTCTTAGGGTTCTAGTTTTTGTCCATTTTATAAAACTAAAACTGTAGTGTTCTTTGTATGCCTTTAGTATCATCTAAATAAAGTTCTGCTACATAATGTTCCCAACTATTATGTTTATCTTACAGGGCAAGGGAAGCCACAGATTTAAACGAAGATGAGCTGAAGCCATGTAGGCAGTTCTTGTGTTGGAAATTTGACTGTTAAAATTCTCTCAATAAAGATTTGCAATTTTGTCCAAAGAAGTCTTGCGTGTCTTTTGTTAAATTTATTCTTAGATATTAGATGCTATTGAAAATTGTATCTTTGGGTCGGCCGAGTGGCGTGTTGGTTAAGAGCTGGCTTGGGACGCCAGAGGGCCCCTGTTTCGGATCCCACGTATGAGGGCCAGTGACACTGCCCTCTACAGCTAAGATGCTGAACAACAGCTCAACCTGGAATTGGGCTGCTGTGAGTCGCCGGCGATGGCGTAGGCTGCAGCCCCTGTGGCAGTGGGTTGCCATGGGCTACCATGTGTAGCCAGCAGCCAGCGTGAGCGGCCAGCA